TGACAGTGGAGCCCAGCGGTTGCGGCAGTGACGAGCGATATGACCAACACATCGACAGTTAAAACATATGGGCCTGTCATCTAAGGTTCGCCATTCGGATAGATTGCATTGGAGGCGAGAAGCAGAAGGGGGACGATAAGAAGGCTCAGCAGAGTATACGCCAGGAATAGGATGTAGGCCGACATTCGATAACTCTTGACAAACGACGGCTTGTATCAAAGAGATTGTGGTCGGGGAAAGAGCAGGCGTCGAGAATGGCATGGCTACCGGTTGCGCTGCCTCGACCTCTCGACGAATGATGCGTGTGACGTTGTCACATTGAAGGGCCTGGAGGCGGAAGGTGTCGTCACACAAAGAAGTAGCTGCTGTGTTCAGAAGGCACACGATGCTTTGGGCTACGCGGCGGGCTTTAGCTTGTTCGAGACGTTGGCATTCTTTAAGGATGGTGTCGATGCTCAAGACGTTAAAAACCAGCAGGTTGAAAGCATCGTCGGCAATGCCTTTCAAGACGTGGTTAAGCTTTTCGTCTTACTGGTCGGCCTTGGAACAAAGGGCCAAGACGTCAAGAATGTAGGAGACATATGATTCGGTAGGAGACTGGGCCCGTGTGGCAAGAGCCTTCTTCGCAGAGAGCTGATGACCAGATAAATTGCCAAACAGGTCGCGGATCTTTGAAAAGATCCCAGCTCGCTATTCCGGCTTTGTGGCTTTCAAACCATGTTCGGGGAGTGCCGTCAAGGTAGAAAAGCACGTTGGCGAGCATGAGCGTGGGATCCCAGCGGTGAGTAACACTGACGCGCTCATACCGGTTCAGCCAAGTACAAGTACCGGAGAAAGTGCCGCGATCCCGGAGGTGCGGGAGTATGACGTAGGTGGTGGCTTGGACTGATGAGGGCGGCGTAGAGGAAGTACCGGCACTCAAAGCAGCCGAAGGGTCGCCGATGTTGCGACCGCTGCACATCTCCATCGAGGTACGGGGGTCGTCCACATCCACCAATAATGTTACGAGAAACTTCTTTAATAATCTATTCACAACGCCCAGAACACAACGAGCAAGATGGCGCCAGTACAGCATCAACCAAAAAACTAAATTCGTCCTCTTCTTTCATGCAGTCGCGTTTAGCGGCTGTTATGTATCAATAGTAATAAAGAGAAATCTGTGCACTTCTGCTGTGTGAACATGTTGCCGGAAGAATTTCGTGAATAAGTGCTATAATAAAAAGTTACAGCGGTTAGAACAACTGTTTCAACTGGTTTCAGATTCTGACGCGGCCTCGCCCCCTCCTTCGCCATATGGTGAGGGAAAGCGTAGCCCGTTGTCGAGACTGTGCTCACTTCGGCAGCACGACACAACCTCAGCGATATGTCATCAGCGCGCAACCAACGACGGAGCAGGGCTTCCCCAACATGAGCACATGTCATAGCACCCTTTCCCTACTAGTAAAGTAACAAGACACCTCTTTATCTTGGAGGTTTTACAAAATGGCAGAGGGCAGCACAGGAAAATGACAATGCGGACTGCGTGTACAAAGCTGCATCACCACAGAGCCAAGGCGCCATTTTGTAAAGCAAAGGACCAATCGACGAGCTCAGGGGTACGTCAAGCTGCGAATAAGCAAGTTTGCGTCACTGTGCGTACGTGGGGGATTGGTCAGAATGAGAAGGGCGCTGGAGTTGTTCATCGCAATAGAGGGTCTGCACAGCGCACAGCGCTGTAATATTTGGAAAATGTGATCACCGCAGTCTGTTGTACGAATTGGTGGCGAGCTTTTCGGGGGGGGGGGGGGTAAAAAAAGTCAGAGCCTGCTTACTGGCCATTGAAAAGTCCTCTTATATTCAAACTTCATGTCCCTACACTCTACACTTATGCTGCCTTCACCTAGCTAAAGCACAGTCCAATTCAGCTATGGCACTACATTTCATAACCCATCGCATTTTCTTTTCTCCTTCATAATTTGTCACATGGTGTGCCTAACGCTGGCAATGATGATGCCAGGGCAGTGTCACAGCTAAAGCAATGGGTAGCAGAAATGAAAAACGAAATTGATTGCTGCAAAACACAGCCCCTAACCTTACCTCGTCTAGAAGTGACAAGTGAAAAGGGCAGGAGAAGGAGGGTGAAAAAATGTGATGGTTGAGTAGGGTCCATGAAATCAGCATTAATGAGGCCTTAGGAAGCCATCTCATATGCTCTTATGTGCACTGTGTCATTCACACAAGGCCAGCTCTACAGGTTACCTCACCATACAAGCATATGCTTGGAGCATGAGCCCCTTTTCTTATAACCTTGAGCAAAAAAACTCACTGCAGAAGTTCAAGATATGTACACAAAAGCCATTGGGTGTACCTAAATATATCATGTATATATACCTCCAATACCTACATATATCACTTGTAATGCAACCCACGCACACTGACTACAAACACACGAAATGACACAGCAATGAAATTTAAAGGCTGCTTGGTTGTAGCCACCAGATAGCCAGCACAGTAAAAAGGGTGCTGAATACTCTTCAAGAGGATAAATAGCCTTGGAGTTCTGGTATGTTCTGGTATATTAAATATGTTAGTCAATGTCTGTTTGAGGTACTGAACACTTACACAAGATCTCGCTAGTGATCACTTATTCAAATCTGATAAAAGCATACTTGACTAAACTTACATCAAAAGTACAAATTGTGGCACCTTGCAATGAACGCTGAAAGAAGCAGGGTGATTGAAGACAGTGACTGTGAACCAGCGAGAAGTTGCAAAGTTCCATTAAAGTCCTTATCTACACAGTTGTAAATATTCAAAACATCTTTCAATAGATCAGACTTCACAAAGCAAGAATTCCAGCTCTATGAACTAAGAATACACCAGAACTCTGATGCCTACTTTTTTTTTTTTCTGGGAACAAAACTTCTACAGGAGAATTTGGTACTCTACCCAAAGTGGCGACGATGCAGCACAGCCCACTTTTTCTAGTCTTACATCTTTAAAGAAAAGCTGTTTGCGATCATAAAGAGTGCTTTAGCTGTCAGTCAGAGAGTCTCATGACAAAGCAGCATAAGCAGTGCTTTCAATCTACACAAAGCAGTACAAACTTTAATCCAAAACTGCTAGTGTACTAAATGCAAAGATGACAATTCAGTTAGAACTAGTCATAGTGGCCACATGTATCTTCAATGTCTCATCCTTTAGAATGATAAGCAAGCCGTGTATTTTCTACCATATATTATGCACAAGAATGGCCTTTCAACACCTTTCTAATTGTCATCGAATGATTTTACAATTGGACTCCTAAGTCTCCTGCCACAAAAATTTTCATAAGAGGAGTTATCGCACGAAACACATGCTTATTCTCTTTTGTTACCAGAAGTACGCTGTAAACTACCTAAGAAGATGGCAAGAGGGTGATGCGTTGTCTAAAAGTTACAACGGTGTGCACTATGACTATGAGAATTTTGTTCTTTTTTAGGGGCAATGCACATTAGGCTCTCGGTGTGTCGGCGTGCATCATTGTTGGCTGCTGTCGTGACGATCCATTTGCTTGAGCGCAAGTAAGAACAAACGATGCATGTTGACTATTGATATCTTGAACTAGTCGCCTCTGTCCTCTGACTCAGAGTGCAAACCCTTGAGCTTAATGTCAACCTCATTGCGAGAGGAAAACCTGCACAGGAGGAAACACGTGTCTACAGGAAAAATATGTTTTCTAGCAGAAGCTGTGTCGAAGCCAAGCCAAAGCTTCCCACGTTTTCAAACAAAATGAACAGAGCACAAATAAAACAAGCCATCAACAAGAGAACGCTTAGCTGGTCGATTTACTGGTTGCAGGGTGTCATCATCATTGTAGCGTTTGCAGCCGTTATCCAGGAAGGGTTACAAAGGAAATGGCATGAGCTCGGCACTTAAACAGGCTCCATTTGATACGTTAACTAAGTTGCGCAGACACCAGACATGATCATTTGATATGATGCCACTGTGACCACAGGGCTGCTTGTGATCGCCTGACTGGAAGTGCTCACACTTCTTCGTTGAAAGGGCTCAGAGCAGCTCAGAGCGGTCAATGAGCAAGGAAAGCGTTCGAAAAGAGCCAGCCGAACGCAAGGTGTATGTTTCCATTTTAACCAGCTGAACAATGATGCCGTTCGCGATGCCACTCGCGAACGCGATGCCGCTGTAGTTCCTTCCAAAACGACCAGCCAAAGATGCCATATGGAAACACTCTTTCTGCAATGAACACTGAACTACCCTACCCACTTGCAAGGAACAAGAATGCACCCTTGTCTGCAAGAGACAACGCCAAAGCGTCTGCTAGCGAGTTTCTTGGTTGAAAAAACAGGCTGCTCATGCTGCAACACTGTTCACCAGCCACCCCGTATATATAGGCACTGGATCTTGACCTGCAAAGTGGTGCTAATGGGAGATTTCTCTTGTACGGCGCAGTTGAACAATAAAGATTCGCGGTATGCATGTTAACTAAAAGTGGACTGCAGGTCTTGCTGGGGAAAACACCATTGCATGCTTTGCGCCTCCACAGATTTCATTTAGTGGAGCTGGAACACGCATCACCCCTCTTCAGTTCTTATTTTCTTTGACAGTATGCACCACTACTTTTGGTTTAGGCATTGTTGGCAAGCTCATAACAGCAGTCAGTCACTAACCAGGGAGCATAAGAAATTTGTGGGTATCATTAAAAAAACTTGGGAGGACACTCGCGCTTGACCTTCAAGGACTATAACGCAATAATGTAATTGGGCCCTGCTAACATGTCTTCGCCCTCGGTAGTCTGGAAGGAAGGATGGTGGGCACCTCAACCGTGCCGCGAGAAAAGGAACATCTGTACACATAACATAGACGGTTTTAGGTTATATTACAACGCTTGCTGCACACAAAGTTGTGCAGTGCACTCTACTCCATAATTCATAATCCTGCGAATTAGTAAAGTGCTCGCTACGGATCAGTACGACAATACCTATGCAGCTGTAAGCTTTGTTGGTGCTGCTGCTGATGGCAATCATTTGCAATACCTGGGCATTTTGTAATGGGTGGCCCTTTAAAGAAGGCACTCATTGCACATCTCACATGATGTGATGCCTGGTGTGATTCTACGCTTCTGTCACGCAATATTACATGTGCTTTCATTACTCCTCGCACTATATAACACCTGTATAGATAGCACTTTCATCCAAAACAGTTTTAAGCACTGCAGTAGTTCTGTAATAGAGCACCTGCTTGCCACGCAGAAGGCCAGAGTTTTATTACGGCTTAGATCCACGATTTTTATCATTTAAACCTATTGCGATTTTTTGCACTTGCAATTAACCGTGCCAACACCCTAATATCTGAAAAATAGGCTCCTCAATGCTATTCTGTTGATATGTAGACTACTTGCCCAATAACAGCATTTACGGGACAGGTGCCAGTCAAGCTACACCAACTTACATATAAGCTTCCTGGTACCACTTGTTGCACAGAAACGAAAGCTGTTACGAAATTTGTTCAAGTAATTTCTGCATGTTGTATGAGGTTTTTACAACAGCAGATCATCTCAGCAAAGAATTGTTGCATGGCACTAATAGGATTGGTGGATGCATATACCAAAAGAAGTGAGAAATTCTCATGATGTGGCAACAAAACAGGATTTGCTATGAATAATGATTTCTTTGAAATCCTTACATTTAGCATGTCTTTCATTTTGGACTTATATTACTGCACAATTTGCTATCATCAACAGAAACAGCACTTTAGCTTTCTTTTACAGAAATACTAAACCTTGCAAAGCCTGCAATGACTGTGCATGTTAGCCTCCTCCAACACACAGCTACAACCCTCTGAATAATGCTGCATTATGTTATGCCTACTCTGGGCAGGATACCGAAAACTCCTACAAAACCTTTGTGACCTTAAAAGAATTCATCTAAAACCATGCTTAGGCATACAAAATGACATAACGGCAGCAATGCCGTTTATTGACCGCTTCTGGTGATTATGTTCAGACAAATCCATTTATACGCTCGTCACAAATAGATCACCCCCAGCGTTTGAAAGCGAACACAGTGGTGTGAACAACTGTGCACTAAAAAAGGCAACATAAAAATTCTTACAACTGATGTATCCCAGTGAGTAGACTGCAGCTTCAAAACTTTTTTTTCTCCCTGTGGGATGACAAAGGCCGTGAAGAAGCATGCACCTTCATATCTAAGTAACGAGGTTTTCAAAGACAGCACAAACTCACACGCCATCACCTACCTCACTGGAATTCAAAAGGGATTTATGGCGAGATGAATGCAAACAGGCACAACATACAGAAGGGGGTCTCCACAAAAATGGCTGCTCTAGGGATTCCTCAAGTTTTCGGTGAGCGCCTGGTCAGAGAGTTTTGAAGCCGGTAAAGCAGTGTTGTCTTGGGGATGCCAAAGCGCCTTGCCGCAGCTGTCATAGGCACACCTTCCGCAAAGACAGCACTCAATGCCCGCTGCATCTGCTCCTCTGTCCAGCCAGAGTTGCGACCACCTCTCGCAGGAAATAGGGAATGGGGAGTACCTGCAAAATGGAATATCAAGCAATATTTTAGAAAAACAAGGGTACCCTTTGAAAAAAAAAAAATTAATACTCATCATAATTGATTAGCCTGGTTTATTCCACTAATGACGAATGCTTTTTGCCATACATCTCCTCTACTTACTCCTTGCCAGAACATTATGTACAGCCATCATGCCCTGATCACCTGCTGGCATGTTTCCCATCAATGTGACATTTATTACTTTAAAACAAATGCTGCCATGCTTGCCATCATTGTGGCAGCCATTACCTTAAAAATAACAGGTTTTATTATGCATTGGCCTAAGACGGTTTAAGGGAAAAGGCCATCTTATTTTTTTTCAACTCGGTTGATGTGCTGATCTTGCCCTGCCCCCCTACAAAAGCTTTCTGAATATAGTATGCTTTTGCACTGCCTCCAAGATCCGAGACATTACAAGTCTCCTGCCCCTCACTTGGTTTTGCGTTGTCTCCATGATTGGCCCATCTTTGACCAAGTGACGATGTGATGACATGATGTCATCATGCGACATCATAGTGATGTCGTGATGACATCACAAATAATGGTTATCTGTGGCATCATGCTCACATGGCGATTACATCATGTGATTATAATTTTTTTACTCACGTTGACACCAACACTGTATAATGCTTACTATCAATTTTTGGGTTTGATTAAGTACCCAAGGCTTTCACCAAAATACACCCCTAATTAATTCCGTCTACATTACAGGTCATACTTAGTTTTCTTTCATCATCATCTAGACAACAATGTTATCTGTCTACATAAAACTTATGGTCTGTTCTGCCACATTTTTTATCATTCAGAATACCAACCAGCTCCACTAAATTCTTCTGTCTCCCTAATGTCTCTACTTTTGTTATGTTTGAACTAAGGAAAAAGATTGAGTGAATGGATGCATGCAACCAAGTAAGACTACTTGCAAAATAAAATAAGTCTGTATAGGTAAAACAAAAATTATACACATAGTATTTGAAAATTCAAAATTGTTCTATGAAGCTACCAACGTATTCATTATGCCGAAAAAATAACAAAATTTACATGAGAAATGAAGCTGCAGTAAGTTGATACTTTTGAATATACAGTATAGACTATTGGTATTGAGTATCAAGCAAAGCAGCCGTATGTACTGACTGACAACCTGTCACTTATTAGAGAAGATGGCGCTTCATCATGTGCTGTTGTCAACAATGTAGACACACTGCAAAGCTGATGCCTAGAATCACAGCCGCTAATTTCAGTGGCATGGCCATGGGTTGGCACACCAGGTCCAGGCAGAAAGATGACGAAGTTTTAAGTAGTCACGAGCACACGTTTGGAAGATTCTAGAAGCGGAAGGCTCATAAACTGAGCCATGGGATAAAAAAATCGCGGCATATCCACGAAATGAATGATGATGAGTGGGCAATGCAGTGGGATCGTTCGGTGTTACCGTAAATCACTCGCGACACTTATGCATGTAAATCAGTGCCAAGCCGTGTAGTTGTATGCACTCAAACCTCATAACAAAGTTGCATCTTACACGAAAACAAGTTCGTTATATCCGAAAGATGGTTATAAAGGTATATCTTTAACACTATATCTAATGCAAGACTATTTTTCATATACTTTGTTATAACTGATATTTCGTTATATCTGTGTTCCTTATGTTGAAGTTTGAGGGTACAATGTTTATTAATTTTAACTAGTACATTGTGTTGAGTTGTGAATTTCATTATTAGCAGTGCTTTCTGGTGTTGGACCTAGACTGAACATGGCAAAAATGAGGTCTGGGCATGTTCCTCTGGTGGTTGTTGGTTGTTTTCAGTCATAAGAAATGCACTGCAGAGCATATAGAGAAGTCATCAACTGCACAAGCCAGTCATTGTCCCTGATCATCATCGTCATATCTGTCATCGGCACGATGCATAGTTGATTGATTGATTTGTGGGGTTTAACGTCCCAAAACCACCATTTGATTATGAGAGACGCCATAGTGGAGGGCTCCGGAAATTTCGACCACCTGGGGTTCTTTAACGTGCACCCAAATCTGAGTACACGGGCCTACAACATTTCCGCCTCCATTGGAAATTTGCACCCAAATCCGTGACATGCACATCTGATCTCAGTTTTTTCTAATGAAGCAAAATATAAAAATATCCTAAGGACACCACACAATGGCGAACCATATGTTGTTCATTTTATTCAGTTGTGATTAGCTACTTTTTTTTTAATTCTTTGGTTTTTGTTATGTCAAATGCCCTATGTAATATAAAATGCCCAAAATGTCCCTTTTAAACTATTTTCACTGCATCACATTTTTGTACAGTGGCAAAGCCAACTTTTGGTCGATGCTACCACTGACTTTTATTAAAAAGGCTGGACGACGCATCCCTGCACACCCATTCGGGCGCTTGTGAAGCCACCAGAAGGTCCCTTCGGTGTCCCGAAAGCTGGCGTCTTCTGAGCGTTTTAAGCGTGTAATTGATATATTACCTGGTGGCAGTTGCTGTGATTTTAATTTTTGCATTTTCTTTTTATAATATAATATTTTTGTGGTCATCCAACGCTACACAAAAAGTGACAGACGTCGTAGCGACGCTGTCCTAAATGGCGGGGTGCTGTGATCTACAACTAGAGCATGCAACGAACCCTACGGCTAGGCATAACTTGGAACCCCGACTAACGCTACACGAAAAATGACAGGTGCCTATAGTGACGCTGTTCGAATATGGCGCAGTGCCGTTACATACAATGTTACATTTACTTGTTAGTCAGGTGATAGAAAAAAATTGTCACAGCTATTTTTTTTAATAAACGAAGAAAAAAAAGTGCACTGTTAGCCAAGAGCGCAACAGTTTGTCTTTTGTGATTGATCCGGGAAATAAAACTAAGTTGAATGACATTATTTCGAAGATGAGTTTCTGAAACCGAGGGATCGAAACATGACTGCTGAATCGTCCTTGCAAAGTCTGCTTCTTGGAGATGACGTCCAGTTGTCCCTCTTTAAGCTACTGACCCACTTCTCGTATATTTTAGGAGTGTGGGAAACTGCATATCAAAAAGACCAAACATCTTCAACGTGTCTCGATAAAAAAATAGATGGTCAAATACCATATTTTTTTCATAGAATATGTAAAAAGGAACATAATTTTCAGGTACTTATGCCTAAAATGTCTTCGCCACAGCATTTCGGGTCGATTCATAAAGTTCAGAGCTTTCTAGAGGTCAGCATTTCATTAAAAAGAAGAAAAAAGCCCTCGCGCCCGCAGCAAATGACAGTTCATGGTGATGGCTTCCGAGACACCAACGGCGTCTTCCGGTGGCTTCAACAGGGGGCACTCAATGTGCCATCCAGCTCTCCCTAGTAGAGATCCGTGACTGCTACAGCTGCAAAATGATTGGCATTCAAGAGCGCTGATTTGAGACTGCAAGATATATGACAGAAGTTGTTGTGGATTGAATACTGAAGTGGCTGATAGTTATTGGATGAACAGCGTAGGCTTTGGCAGTTTCCGTTTCAATGAGGCACTGGTAATGTATTGAAGAAAACATACATCTTACTGCTTCAGTAGGTAACTAAATAACATGTAGTTTATGCATGTAGTCTTTCTCTATTAAACATGACTTTGTGGATACAAGACAGGCTCTACAGAAATGTGTATTAGATTTTTTCTCTTTCGGCAAAAAAATTCTTTTAGTGATTGCTAAATGTAGAATTATTTACAAAGAGTTGCAAAAAGTTTAGTTTTGTTTAACAAAAGCTTTCTTTACACATTACCCAAATATAAAACAAACCAATTAAAAAAACCGTTCTATATAAGCAGTAGTTTCTATTGTGCATCTATGAAACAATCAAGCATAAGCATTCCACCTGAATACTAGAAATTGGCACAGAAATCTACCAAAGCCGATAGTAACCTTCAAAAGGCTCATCATTTTTCACTTTTGCAATTTTACAAGTGTCACACCTTGCCCGGAACTATTGCCAGAGTTGGAGCTTTCGCCTGATGCTGCCAGAGTTGCCAGCAGCGCAGACGCATCTTCTTCTGTTTCTGGCTTCTCAGAACCAGACTCCAGCATTTTTGCCGTAGCCAGCAAGCTAAGCTGAGAAGATGCTGGGAACATCTTCTGGTGGCAATTGCTGTCTACAGCACTTGAACTGGACTGCAAAATAAAAATGATATGAGTCATGTATACTGGTTCTACGAAGTGCATTTCACATGTGAACATACATGCCCTATCTGTGAAAATGGCATCACAGGAGTGTGTCAGTGCAAAGCAATGCGATCAAGAGGCGAATCAGAGGATAAAGAGGAAAAACTGAAGGACACTTTGCAAATTCCTAAATGTGTTCGGCGAATGCCTGGGCCCATTAAGAAGAAGTCAGTCAGAATGAGATACGATGCGCGCGACATGCTGGGCACAGCGACGCTTTGCAAGCAAAGCGAAATCGCTATAGAGTGGGACACAAGACTCGACCGCCGTTACCAGTGTCCATCAGTGAGCCACAGCAACTATTTGGAATTGCGCCCGAGCACGGATGAATGGACAAATGGACAGATGTGAGCATGACACATTAAAGGCTTTCACTTTAATACCCAACTAACGTGAGTGTTTAGGTGAGTTAATAGTTCATCGTTCAGAAAATTTCAACAGCGTGTGGAAAAAGCATGAATGAATGAAAAGAGAGCTGAAATGAACAAGCACTGACATCCAAATGATCTTAAGTTAGGAAAAAATACGGATATATGCAGTGATGAACTGTGCTGCACAAAAGAGCATGTGACCACAACCAAGCATGAGCACAAACAAGTGACAAGATTAAAAAAATAAAACCAGAAAACACTATGTTGCAGAGCATCCTGCATAGAAAAACTAACCAATTTCCTTTGTGGGCAAATCGACGGAAGCATGCTGATGCATGCCTCCCCCAAATAAGCAATGTGGGTCGCCTCTACAATTTTTTTAGCGAGCACATTTTTACTTTCAAAGATTACCACTGTTTGATTGCAGACAGGCAGGCAATCACACTCCCTACGATGGATGCGTGCTCAAATGTCGAGAGATGCCACTCAGCACATTCCATTGGTGTTCACATAGACATATATTGAGGCGTCCTGACATTTGGCCAATGTATTTCTTTCCACATGACACTAGGATAGCATACGCCCTCCTGTCGACACACGGTATGAACGAATCCTTGAGCTTGTTTTGGCCGCCATTTTGTTTGTTTGTTTGTTTTTTAGAGGAGGTCATTAGTTTGCACCGTTTTTCGTTTCTTGGGTGCCAGAATACTCGCACAAAACTAGAGAACATGAAAGAAAACAGCCGCATTCCTTTGACCAATAGTGCTGGCAGAGTTTTGTGAATTCCCTAGACTGCAAAATGAACCAGTGTTTCAGTCACAAAAGAGATTGATCTCTGACATACACTTGAGATAAATATTATGGAACTAAGACTTATTTTGGTCATGTCGCAAGGGGCTGTTGCTTCAATGGGGAGGGGGGGGGGGAGATTAATGCTGCCCAAAGTGGCAGGTATGAAAAAAGTGAGGTCACTCCTGTGCAAAATAGTTATATAAGTTTCAGCCCACAGGAAAACACCTAGCTGAGCTTAAAATGAATTTTTCAATACTCATGGTATCACCAGGTGTTGTCGGTGATATATTCAAATTCGCTTCGATTCGAATTTAATATTATCGGGAACTTGCATTCGAAATGTACAATTATAAATGTGTATATTGATAATGATTGTTATGATATTATTGTTATGATATGATTGATGTTATGATATGATATGATTATAATTGTTATGATATTGTTATGATGTGAACACGCTTTTCCAAAAAAAAATCCACACTGTCTCGAATCTCCACTTCAAGGTTAAATGAATATATTATGATCACATTGATTCTTTCTTTCTTAATTTTAAAACTTCATGGTACCGGCTTATATGCTTGTATAAAAAATTTTAAAATGTAACATATTTTACAGGTTATCACTAGCATTCTACCGAAAGCCGAATCCTGCTGCTACTTACACTTCCTTGGAACCAAATGAATGACATTTTCAGATGCCCTGTTTCAATTTAAATATATATATATATATATATATTTGTGCAAGTTAATTGGGTCATGACAAATATTGCTTTACAGTATCTGATATTCGATTCAAAATTTGAAACAAACCACCATTCGCTTCAATCCTAAAATTCACTATTTTCATAAGCTTAATATTTTCACAGTGTCTATGATTTGCACACAAGGCGAGGTTTAAACCAGGCAAATAATTGTTTTAGTTACTCTCAGATTATTTCAAACTACATAGTATAGGCAAGAAAAAGTCAAAGTGTAGTCTCAATTCACGACTAGAACCTCCTGGAGGCATGTGATCATGCTTGAAAGTATGCTGTTGCCAGCCCTTGAGCAAACCTGGTAAGCACAGCACATCGACTTTCGTTAGATGTTCAATTTACTAAATGAAAGAATGCAAAAAGAAGAGAGTAAATTCAAGTTAAGACAAGCTTTTGGATCGCTAGCATCTTGAAATTACCTGTTAGAACTTGTACCAGTTATCAATTTGCCACCAATAGTTTCCTGACATTGCTTAAGCTATTGGAAGCAGATCTGGAGCAAAACTGGTAGCCCCAGATATCACTGCAGAGTGCCTTTACTAGAATGAGATAAGGATAAGAGGAACTAAACAAATACGTCTCCCCTGTTCAGAGCATCAGAGTTTGAGGTGTCTACTGTACTACCACTCACTGCCTACCTCATCATTCTTTGCCAGTGCTTGCTCCAGAAGCCGTGATGTCTCGAAGTCTTTTTCTTCTTCCGTGGTTTCGTGACATGCATGCAGCCTATGCTTTTGCTCACAGTTGCCACTCATTTCTTTGGTGGACAACAGAGTTTCCAACACTGAGCAGGAGCTTGCACCCTTGCTAGACCTTGTAGTTCTTTGCGTAGCAACAGCCTCAGAGGTCCGCTTGGGCAGAAACTCCGCATCACTCGAGTTATCCTCCTCTACCTCATCATTGCTTGAGACCTGACTTTCTGCAAAGACAATAAACAAGCATCTAATCTGCTGCGAGCAGGTCAACACCCAAGAAGACGTGGCTCCAGCTAAGTCCCTTAAACTTCAAGCATTTAGGTTAGTTTTGAAAGCTATTAAAGGACTCCCAACTCCAGAAGTACGTTAAAGCCAAGTCTTGCCAAAATGACTGTAAACACAGCAAATCTTTTCCAAACCTGCACATCAACACTTGTGCCAGTCAATCTGTTCGCCATAAACTATTAGTGCTTTCATAGTTGAGGATAACCTTGACTATGATACTGCATATTTATGGACAAGTGACATAATAACAAACGCTAAGGTTAACTGAAATGTGTTAGTTCCATCTTGTTTTTGTCAGAACATTTATTGCCAGCTTGATTTTGGCTGGCTTGCAATATATATATATATATATATATATATATATATTGTAATAAATCTGAATAACGGACGCTCTGCTGGTAATGAAGACGACGATGATGATCGGTGGCTGCAGTAGTAGCTCGCGCACGCCGCTCGCCATTAGCCAGACCTGCCTGATAAAGGACATTTTGCCAAGCTACGTCTGAACCTTTCTCGACGTACAACACCTCTATTTTAAGTGGTGGAGGAGCCGGGGTTCCCATCAACCTGGAACTTCGCAATCGGACGCTACCCTCACCGTTCACCATGACTGCTCCTGGCCCTTCTCAAGCTGCCTTACCAACGACAGTCTACTGTACTGGCGCGCCTCGGCAACGCGACCCACTAATTTTTCGCGGCAACGACGAACAAGACGTCGAGGACTGGCTCATCGAGTACGAAATCGTAAGTGCTTCCAACAAGTGGAACGCCTGCGACCAGCTCACAAACGTGCGCTTTTACCTCGCTGATGTGGCCGGCCTCTGGTTCAAGAACCACGAAGGCGAAACTACCAACTGGTCCGCCTTCAAGACCGCCATCGCCGCGGTCTTCGGTCGTCCCGCCGTGCGCCGGCTTCGCGCGGAACAGCGTCTCCGTAGTCGAGTCCAGCGCAAAGACGAGACCTTTACGAGTTACATTGAAGATGTCTTGTCTCTTTGCAAGCGCGTCGATGAATCTCTAACCGAACGCGACAAAATCAAGCACATCATCAAAGGAGTTGACGACGACACCTTCCAGATGCTCGTCGCTAGAAATCCACAGACCGTCACCGATGTTGTCCAGCTCTGTCAGGAGTACGATGAGTTGCGTAAGCAGCGTGTCTTGACGCGCAGGGCCGCAGAAGATACGGCTGAAGTTTCCGCCCTCGTACATGACGTCGCTGCCGATCACACCGTCTTACTGCCCCAAATCAAACAATTCATTCGTGAGGAAGTTGCGCGTCAGCTTTCTCTTGTGGCCGAAGCATCCGCGCCAGTGACCTCGTTAGACCCACGTCTACGCCAGGTCATCGAGACACAGGTCACGCAGGCACTGCCTCCATCGCTATCTGTCCCTACGCCGCTGACCTACGCTGCCGTCGTTGCTAGACCCCCAGCCCCACCTATCTCTGGCGCATACCGGGGCACCAGGTCCTCCTACCCTACGACGCTGCCTACATACACGGCCCCCCATCCCGTTTCGCCCCCTGCACCTTCTGTCGTTAACCCATGGCGCACCTTGGATAATCGACCCATCTGTTTCGCATGCGGTTTCGTGGGACATATAGCACGCTACTGTCGCCGTCGCAACTTCCAGCCTCCAGACCATGGGAATTCTGCAAATTACCAGGCTGCCCAGAATCCCCGGCGACCATCTTCTCCTATCACCGACTCATTGTCCCCACGACGCCCCGTCGATTCTCGCCGGTCATTACCACCCCGTCACCGATCTGTCTCCCCGATGCTTCGGCGCACGAGCCCCGCTCGAGAGGAAAACTGACAGCCGCAGTTCCGGAGGCAAGAACTGCGTCGTCGTCGAACTTTCTAAGACCTCCTCTTTGTCCAACGAACGAAATTGATGTGCTCGTAGAAGGTGTTGCTGTACGTGCACTTGTCGACACAGGCGCCGTCGTTTCTGTAATTAGTGAGAAACTGTGTCGCGATTTGAGAAAAGTTACAACGCCGCTTACGAATCTTGCTCTGCGTACAGCCACCTCCCATTTCATCGCGCCGACAGCTCAGTGCACAGCACGCGTTCTTATTCAAGATGTTTGGTACACCGTCAGCTTTGTTGTTCTCCCACGTTCATCTTATGACGTCATACTAGGATGGGATTTCCTTTCTACCCATCAGGCCCCCGTCGGCTGCGCTCGTGCTGAACTCACGTTGACGAATCCGTGCCTTGATATCGACCACCACAGACCCTCGAAAGTGTTTGCCGCAGCTGACGTCTGCATCGCGCCGTTGTCCGCCGTCCTGGTGCCTGTGTTTTCCCCTGCTGCCAATAACTCGACGCTCCTGTTCCAACCAACTATAGCTAGTGTGCAACACCGAACCATCGTCCTCCCGTTTGCCGTCATCAACTTTTCCAATGGTTCGGCGGTACTTTATGCGTGCAACGTTTCTGCTTGTCCGTACATCCTGCTACGCGGTGAGTGTCTGGGAAGCCTCGCGACCTTAAATTGTATTTTCGAAGACACGATCTATCCAGACAAGCCATTTTTACCGACTTGTGCCATTACACCCGCAACTGACGCCAATGAACCTATGGATGTATTCCGCAAGTCCGTTGATTGTAACCTCACGCCTGGGCAGCAGAAACAGCTGATCAAGCTCCTACAGCGTTTTCGAGCCTCGTTTGATTACAATCAGCCTTCCTTAGGTCGAGCGTCATCTGTTGTTCACCGTATAGATACCGGTCAAGAGACGCCATTACGGCAGCGTCCATATCGTGTGTCAACTACCGAACGCCGTGCCATCAATGAACAGGTTGACGACATGCTGACACGTGGCATAATCGAACCGTCAAGCAGTCCCTGGGCCTCTCCAGTTGTGTTGGTGAAGAAGAAGGACGGATCCATCAGGTTTTGCGTGGACTACCGGCGTCTCAACCGAATCACGCGCAAGGATGTCTATCTGCTGCCACGCATTGACGATGCCTTGGACTGCCTACAGGGAGCCGAATTTTTCTCTTCTTTAGATCTGCGCTCTGGATACTGGCAGGTACCCATGGCAGAGGCCGATCGTGAAAAAACTGCTTTCATCACGCCCGACAAGCTTTACGAATTCACAGTCATGCCCTTCGGCCTCTGCAACGCGCCAGCTACTTTCGAGCGGATGATGGACTCTATCCTTCGAGGCCTCAAATGGAACGTTTGCCTTTGTTATTTAGATGATATTGTCGTCTATTCAACTGATTTTGCAACCCATTTAACCCGCCTCGAGAAAGTCCTTGCGTGTATTTCTGCCGCGGGGCTGCAACTGAATCTGAAGAAGTGCAATTTCGCCGCTCGAAAGCTTACGATCCTTGGCCACGTGGTTTCAAAAGACGGCATTCTTCCTGACCCTGCCAAACTTACAGCCGTTTCAGCGTTTCCCAAACCGACCACCATGAAAGAGCTCCGAAGCTTCATAGGCCTCTGCTCTTACTTCCGGCGCTTCGTCCGCAATTTCGCGACGATCATCGCTCCTTTGACCAAGCTTCTCGCCGGCTCTAGAGACCTTTCAGTCTGGTCTGCCACCTGTGACGACTCTTTCAATGAACTGCGTCGCCTCCTCACGTCGCCGCCTATTCTGCGACACTACGACCCATCGGCACCCACAGAGATCCACACCGACGCGAGCGGTGTCGGGCTAGGCGCTATTCTTGCAGAGAAGAAAGACGGCTTCCAAGAGTACGTGGTTGCCTACGCAAGTCGAACTCTTAGCAAAGCCGAAACCAACTATTCTGTCACTGAAAAGGAATGCCTCGCCATTATTTGGGCGATAGAGAAATTTCGCCCTTACATGTATGGGCGCCCTTTTGACGTCGTGACTGACCACCACGCCCTCTGCTGGTTGTCGTCACTGAAGGATCCAAGCGGTCGCCTCGCCCGATGGGCATTACGCCTCCAAGAATATAATATTCGCGTGGTCTATCGCTCCGGCCGGAAACATTCGGACGCAGACGCCCTATCCCGTTCGCCTCTACCCCCTGACCCGGACTGCTGCGAAAGTCTAACCTGTGATGCCACTGCCGTCACCATCGCCGACATGCCATCTGAGCAACGCAAGGACCCTTGGGTTGCTTCGATTCTAGACATCCTGGCTGGGCGGACGGCTTCCCCTCCTTCTCGCACATTGCGTCAGCAAGTCGAGCACTTCTCCACTCGCGACGACGTGCTGTACCGACGCAACTACGCACCCGGTGGACGTCAGTGGCTACTCGTGATTCCACGTCATCTGCGATCCGAGATTTGTTCCACGTTTCATGACGACCCCCAATGTGGCCACGCAGGTTTTCTGAAGACTTATTCTCGCATACGTCTTCGATATTACTGGCGTGGCATGCACCGTTTTATACGACAATACGTTCGGGCCTGCTCGACGTGCCAGAGACGAAAAACTCCCCCTTATCACGCTAGCGGTACCTTGGTACCCTTACCATGCCCATGCCGACCATTCGACCGCGTCGGCATCGATATCTATGGTCCCCTTCCCAACACTGCTGACGGTAACCGCTGGATCATAGTTGCCGTCGACCATCTCACGCGGTATGCCGAAACTTCATCCCTTCCCTCGTCTACAGCAAAAGACGTTGCGACTTTCGTTCTTCACAACATTGTATTACGTCATGGAGCACCTCGGGAGTTACTGAGCGATCGTGGTCGTGTATTCTTGTCAGACATCATCACAGCATTGCTGTGTGAGTGCCACGTCGTTCATCGCACTACAAGCGCCTATCATCCCAGACCAATGAAATGACAGAGCGCTTCAACCGCACCCTTGGTGACATGCTGTCTATGTATATCTCGTCAGACCACTCCAATTGGGACCGAGTGCTCCCGTTTATCACGTTCACTTATAATACCGCCGTTCAAAGCACTACTGGGTTCTCTCCTTTTTTCCTCCTTTACGGACGCGAAACCTTCTTGCACTATGGACACCATTCTTTCGTACAAACCTGACTCCTCAGAGTCCACGACTTTGTCTCAAGCTGCTACATACGCTGAAGAATGCCGCCAACTGGCAAGATCATTCACAACCCAAGACCAAGGACGCCAAAAGCACCACCATGACGCATCAAATAACACTACTTCCTACGATCCAGGTTCACTCGTCTGGCTGCATGTCCCTTCTGCTACACCTGGCCTTTCTACCAAGTTGGTCCCCAAGTATCACGGCCCATATCGTGTGCTACAAAAAACGTCACCGGTGAATTACCTCATCGAGCCACTGGAACCATCTTCTGATCAACGTCGTCGTGGCCAGGAAATTGTCCACGTCTCGAGGCTTAAGCCCTGCTACGACCCTCCCGTGTTTACTTGTCCATATGTCGCCAGGATGGCTCCTTATTTCGCGGGGAGTAATTGTAATGAATCTGAATAACGGACGCTCTGCTGGTAATGAAGACGACGATGATGATCGGTGGCTGCAGTAGTAGCTCGCGCACGCCGCTCGCCATTAGCCAGACCTGCCTGATAAAGGACATTTTGCCAAGCTACGTCTGAACCTTTCTCGACGTACAACACCTCTATTTTAATATATATATATATATGCACTGAAAATGCTGAATACATGTAAGAGATGGTGTTCAAAATACGGCTATGACCAGTTTCAAGCTCTTGAAAGACACTGCTTTCAAACTCCATTTTTGTTACTCCATAAAGGCACTTAGTGGGGCATGGATTCAGGCACCACATGCAATGGTGAAAAGCTTTACCAATCTCCAAGTCATGTCATTCACCCTGGTTGGCCTTGCCCTTATATAAATGAAGTGAACACATTCAGTGTTATCTCTCATCTAGCCCAAATAACACGAAGCTACGTATTGTGCTTTAACTTAGGCGATGCATTTGATGAGAGGGCCATCAGTGCCCCATTTGAATGGTGATAATAGCCAGTGCAAAAAGAATACAGATGATAAAAAGAAACGATGACACAGGAGCTGCATACCATTAGCCTGTGTTGTCCTGTGTTGTCGCACTTTGCAAGTGCCTAAGTCGTCGATTTTTTTTTTTTCATTCATGTTCTTTTTACGCTGGCCATCATCAGTATTTTCCAATCGCCCACCTTACTACCCTATTACCATTTGAACAGATTACATAGAAAATTACAGGCGATGGCATGTCGAAGAAACGCACTTTGTGCATATGGTGTGATCTTCAGTCCTGCTAGGCAAACTTCACTCATGAAGTGACAAGCGCAGTAATAATGACAAGCTACCTTGCTCTCGAGGGGTGACATGTCGAGGTCTGACTCTTTTTCTCTTGCTGCTTGGTGGCGATTTCAGTGGTCTCTTCGGGGGTGATGCAACATTTGCCGAATCCACATTACTTGCTCGCACGTCAGAGGAAGTCAAACTATAAGAAATGGGCATACATATTTTTATTTACAATGAAGTCCTTTCTCAAAAAAATTAAGTTGTTACTATCAGCAATATTAGTATACGGCATAATTTAGTATGCTTATATAAAAGCTCTATGTGAGATAAAACTCTTGTAGATCCTACACTATGCACTGCCTTCACACTGTTGACCTTATAGGCCTGCAAGACCCTCTTTTTTTTTTTTTTTTATCTAAGACCTTTGCCTCAGACCCGCCTGCAGGCATGTGGTCATTCAACACTAAGTTGACATCATGTTCAAATAGTTGAAGAAGACTACAAGGTATCCCTGTAACTCAAAAGAGTACGAAACAAAAACGTGGCGCCTTACTTCTCTCTCATGTCCACATTTTCTGCCCCATCTTTTAACATAAAAAGTGCAACCATGTGCTTCATCACAGAGGAAGGATATCTAGAAAAGTGTATTTTTCTTGTTTTTATTTATTAATTCTTTTATTGTATACCTGTCAAGCTGGTGATGATGCTATTGAGTATGTATTCCTTCAGAATGCAACAAACAATTGATTACCTTCTAATGTGACAGCTTCTAAACATGCACCAAATACAGTACAGGTTCGGACATGAAAAAGGAGATTTCTCATAATGTTGGAGCCTGACGTGACATAATAATAATAATTGTTGGGTTTTAATGTCCCAAAACCATGACTTTATTATGAGAGATCCTGTGGTAGAGGACTCCAGAAATTCAGATTGTTCAGCACTCTTCAACGTGCTCCTAAATCTAAGTACATAAGCCTAAAAAATGTTCACATTTATCAAATATGCAGCCATTACAGCCATGATTCGATCCAGCGATCTGAAGGTCGGCACTCCGGCACTGTAAACACTAAACCACTGTAGTGTGTCAGATGCGACATCCTCACAGTAATATAGACCTTTTTCACAAGGAGGCTGCCATTTTATGCGCCGCAGCACCATCTAACGTCTGCCACGTTTCACCGCAGTGTCGGTGCATGGGGATGTGCGGCGGTGTATGCACCATATGCGCACAGTACACAGGGTATTGTTGTTTTCCGTGGTACACGGTCAAAACACAGCAACGCTTCGCAAGTGTAAAGGTGCTAGAAAGTAATCGCTAAGCTGTCAGCTTCGAAATGGCTGAGACAGAAAGTAACGGCGACCCACGAGATGTTCCCGCAGCGGTGCCGACGATAGACAGAAGGTGAGTAGAATTTCATTAGGTAACAAGTAAATGGGTAATTAGTATGTTTTGTTATAGCTGGCCTTGTGGAATTTTGGGAGTATGCACTATGGTTAAATTTTCCAACAACTCTCGAAGTGATCGGTGACACATAAATGAGACAAGCGAACACGTACATACGCCATTGTCCAGCTGCACTTTCAGTGCACGCATTAGTGTTTAAAATAACTCTCAGGTTTCTTTGCAGTGATTTTTAAGTTTAACTCAACTCTAGAATCGCTAGGAAACCATCTGGTTCTGCTCAGAATATCGCAGTAAAAGTTTATGGTACGAAGGAAGTTCAAACTCTGATTCGTGTTCTCGTCGTTCTCAAAAGTTTGTGTCTGATCGTTGCGCAGTATAACAAATGGATGTACGACGGACAAGTTCAAACTTCTGCGTAGAAGCAACAGAAAAAAAAATGAACGTCTCGAAGCACGGCATGGCGTAAGTTCACTTCGGCTCCAGCAGTCGCCAGTGACGATACGCTGAAAGCACACCCGTTTTCGGTAACATTGTTGTCATTTTTTTTAACACAACGAGCACACATGTTCAGGGAATGACATGGCTTTAATAATTGTGGGTCAATTATTCACAACACTCAGGCTGCCGTGAAAAAAAAGTGAGTGTGGTAGTCATAAGACTGCCCAGTTATCGTCACAAAATCGACAAGTTGAGAAATGACATGCGGTCGAAAAAACACTAGGAGCATGCGTTCCTGAGCCAAAGAACACTTAAGTCATGCAGAACTTCCATAATTTGAAAAGTGCTCCTTCCATTATCTTGAAATTGCACCAGCCTAGATTGCAGTATCTGCAGGCATCGTAACTCATGAGCTGTTGAATAGGAATGGGGGATGTAGATGTTACAACAGAAGAATACCGGACAAAGATTTTTCTGTATAAACCTTCAGCTTTGACATTGCTTGTCCTTGCTGCAGATAATGAAAGGTAGCAGCATCCAAGCAGAATCACAAGTTGGTGTAATGAAGAAACAGTCACAGGGAGACATATACCACACTTATATTAAAATATTTTTCAAAGAAGAAGGCCAGTGAGCTATATATATCGAAAAAAGGTGCACCTTGCAAGTCTCGGCTGCCAACCTTTTGTTCTTTCGATAGTTGTCACGGCAAAACGCAGCGCCATGGCAGTTTGTCGACCTGTTCTAGTCCGACATTTAGATATTCGGCAGCACAACTGCTTGAGCCCATAAAAAAAAAGAAAACACATTGACCTTCCACGTGCTGCACATGCAAAACGCGGTAGTTCCCACACACCAGTGGCCGCATGACTGGTGGAGAGAGAGAGTGACGAAAATTCACCACTTTGAAGCTACACTCCTCCTCTCCATGATAAAAGTCTATACTTAGGCAGAACTTTGGAAGGCAGTGACATTTTCGCCTGTGTGTAAGCACATGTATGCAAGCATGCGCCAATGACCGCGAGTTCTAGACTGACGTCATACGCTGCACAGCCGTTGACCCTACAATAGGAGAAAATCGCATGAGTGGAACTATTTTTTTTTAGTTGCATATGCGACCAGCTACTGCACTTCATTCATCTGTGTGGGGCCTCTCCTGCCAACATAAGTTGTATTTAACTGTGGACAGTGCCGGAGCAGATACACACATCAAGATCATGCTGCCAAGAACAGTCAATTCAGTAATCAGTTGAACAAGAGGAGAGAATGGGCTACGAAGAATTTCCAAGAGAACTGCACAATTTGGCACGCTTCTACGTCATGGCACCTGCATGGCAAGAAACTACTGCGCATGGCTGACTGGTGCTATCTTTTCGAGTCTTTGTGATACGATATGACAGCCACCTACAGTTTTAATATATTGTAACGGACATGTAAAAGGCAGAGAAGAGAAAGGAAGGAAGACGAAGAGGCTTGGCAAAATCGAAGTGCGCTACTGCGAACGACCCTCCCTCACCTCTTGTAAATAAAAACCCTTTCATGACAACTCGCTGTAAGAGTTGTGGTGGAGGTGCTGGGTAGTGTTAATGGCTGAAGGGGAACTAGTGTTGCGGTGGCCGGGCGCTTGTGACGTTGGCACGTCTTGCAGCTAGCGACGTAACGCTTCGTTGTTTCGTACATCTTGGGCCAGTAAAAGCGTTCCTGCGCGCGGTGCAGCATTCGTATGAAGCTTAAATGACCGGATGTCACATCGTCATGCATAGCATGTAGAACATCGGAGCGAAGGCTCTCGGGGACAACTAACAAAAAACGTGCTTCAGGTCTGGAGTAGTTCTTATAGAGCAACTTGTCTTGAACCGTAAAGTGACCACTGTGTTGGGAGGTACGGGCGGTGGCAAAAAGAGGATCCAGGTTGATATCGTTGCCTTGTCCTCTCTGGAAGTCAGCCCCATCGGGGAACGTGCTTGTAACAGCAGCAAGGCAGTCATCAAAATTCTCAGCATCGCAGTCGGTCGTGGCAAGAGGAATCTGGGAGAGGCAGTCTGCATCAACGTGACGACGGCTACTCTTGTACGACACCGTAAAGTCATATTCCTGAAGTCGCAGTGCTCAGCGTGCGAGGCTACCAGAGGGATCACGCAAACCGACCAACCAGCATAACGAATGACGATCGGTAATTATCTTGAATGGCCTCCCGTAAAGACAACAACGAAACTGCTGCACGGCGAAAACATGAAACTACGAACTTTAACCCATTTTATTTGTTGTACGCCAGGCTGCCCTCTGGACACTTTCTTACCCTTTATTCTACACAAGGACAATTCTATATCGAACACCTTGTGCCTTGTGAAAAAAGCCCGCTGAATCGCTCGTCTTCGGATTCTGGCCTTTCAACGTCGTTCGAAGGAACGATACGACGACCGTCACGAACCAGTATCGATTGATATGTGGGGTTTAACGTCCTAAAACCACCCTATGATTATGAGAGACGCCGTAGTGGAGGGCTCCGGAGATTTCGACCACCTGGGGTTCTTTAACGTGCACCTAAATCTGAGCACACGGGCCTACAACATTTCTACCTCCATCGGAAATGCAGCCGCCGCAGCCGGGATTTGAACCCGCGACCTGTGGGTCAGCAGCCGAGTACCTTAGCCACTAGACCACCGTGGCGGGGCACGAACCAGTATCATTCGAAAAAGGTGACTTGGTGTCGCTTTGTACGCCGCAACGCAAGCGTGGATTGTGTCAAAAGCTTCTGTCATGATATTCAGGCCCATTTGTAGTTTTGGAGCGTCTCAGCCAGCTCACCTACGTAATAGCTCGGTCTTTTGTCCAATGGTTGACGATCGAGCAGAACGCAGCTCACTCACAATGCTTGCCTAAAACCTTTCTACCCTCTCTGTGCATCATAACTTGCCCCTACAGACTTCGTCTGCTTGCGGAGGAATGTAACGGACATGTGAAAGGTAGAGAAGAGAAAGGAAGGCAGACGAAGAGGCTTGGCAAGATCGCAGTGCGCTACCGCTAACGACCCTCGCTCACCTCTTGTAAATAAAAACCATTTCATCAAAACTCGCTATAACAAGATTACTCTTTTTTTTTTTCTATACAGAGCCACACAAAAAAATGGCCTGCATTTAGAAGGCTTGTTATAAAGTAGCTGTAATTATTTAGCTACGTTATTTTTAAAAATTGATTTATTTTACCATATTACAGACTTTACAGCTGTAAAAGAGGGCAAAGAAAGGAGTTGGAAACTTAAATTGTCATGAGAGAGCTTGAACACCATATTTTTTAGGTTATATTTTATTTAGCAAGTCACCATACATGTCTCACTGAAGGTGCCAAAATTTAGATACACTATAAAAGAGAACTTCCACTAAAATTTCTTTGTGTTTATTGCAGTGAAACTGTACGGCTGCATGACAACACTATCGTGTGAAAAACAACACCGCATGTCTAGTGATAGCTCTTTGCGATTATCAGAAGCCATCCCCATACTTACTTTTTCTATACTACATGAGTCAAAAGGGCCTCCAGTAACCAGAAATGCATCATAGTTACCATGCACAGTTTTATTTTCCCCTGTAAATCTTGGCAATCAGCTTGAGCTAGTTCTCTCATTTGGACTGTTTTTGTTTTGCAAATGAAAGAACTGAAAACATGGTCCACCGTGAACAACTGGGAGCTGTGGTTCAATAGAGAGGAAAACTTGTGCTATACTGCTTGCACAGCCGTCAGCACGCACTATTTGCAGAGAAGGCATAGTTGGTTTCAGAATCCCATAGATCAGACAACTCACAATCTTTTACATTGCAACAATGCCAAAAGTTGGTGCATTGTATATGATTTATGATTAGAGTTTCAAAATAAACAATCATTGATACTCAACTGAATATACTCAACGATAGTGACCCTTACACTACGCAACAATAATAAACAGAGCACAATTACATGACCACATGATGTCTCACCAATAAAGCAGCGTAAATCCTCATTACATTGCAAACAATGCTTTTGTCATGGGTGTGCAGCCTTGCTTCAAGACGAATGAGCAAAATCACACTTTTACTCACAGCACATTGCAGCATCACAGTTGTAACGATTTTCTCATGATTAGGCATCACGAAAGGCCACAGCAGGCCAACTAACCTGGGCAACTGTTCAGCCAGTTCAGAAGAGTCGCTGGTTAGGTCAGTAAGGCCTTTCACTTGAAGCGCCTCCGCAGCTCTCAGCAGTGAAGAAAGCTGCTCACGTGAAACATTCACTTCCCCGTGGTACATGAAATCGACAATGGCTCTCAGTTCTGAGAATTTGAAATCTTTGAGAATGACGATTGGATGCTGGTGACTGTTCTCTGCAAATAAGGTCTGCAAAGTATAAAGCATTACAAGAGCTGCTGTTACTATTGCGTTTAACAATGATAGTGTCCAAATTAAATCATAATAATGTCAAAAATGAGTGATAACTTATTTCACAGGTTTTTTTTATACAAAGGAATGCATGCAACAGCAGTATGCATGCATTGAGTGCTACGTAGTTACGTTCAAGTGATGTGAGCATTTACAGTGAAAAAAATTGGCCATTTCACGTTGCACTTTAATAATTTTTCAATAAAGATTTTAAAGGAAACGGCAAGGCAACAAGCCCACTCAAAAATCGAACAGTTCACATAATTCAAGCTCTGGCATTATTATTTCTTAATGCATGCTTTCTTTATTTGTTGAGCACACTTTCATTATATATTATTAATATTAGATTAACGTCCTTCCAAGTGTGGTGTTTTAGCGTGACGAGACATTTAATATAAGACATCTGACATTTTTGACAATCCTGCCTTTCTTTTCTTTTCAAAGCTACTCTTCATATTTTTCACTAAATTTGAAAGCTCCGTATTTTCCCAACAACTACTTTAAAGACAGCTGAATTTGGTGCTTAAATAAGTAAAGAAATAGCTGATGTGAGGGCACTTTAGCTAAGGAAATACTGTTGCGCAACTTTTACCGAGTTGTTTGGAGCTGCTCGCCATAAACTCCCTTGTATAAATAAACCCGAAAAACGTAACCGGCAGGCAGGCAGATAGCCTTCGAACAATTATGACAATACAGAATCGATCGGGTACCTGAAAGAAGGGGCTGCAGGCGGACAGCATTGCTTTGTGAGCCTTGAGGCTAAACCCTTCGCAGGCAAGCGTGACATCTGTGAGCGATTCGCTGAAGAGTAGCTGGTCGAGGGCACTCAGAAGGTTGCTGTAGTGGCTTTTCCACTTCAGACAAAATTGTTGCGACCCCATGGTGGAACCTGACCACAGAACACAGTAGCGCGTTCAGTTTATTTCCAAAAGTACCGTTAGGTTTCGGTTGCGAAATGCGCTGACCCCGATTAGTCGCGCGCCACAGTTTAGTACGGCAGAAAAGGTAACGACCCCTCGTAACCTTTAAAACCATCAAAGATCAACAGGTATGGACGCGGGTAAATCAGAACTAGCGTCGGAGGTGACGAAAAAGAAATAACAAAAAAAAAAGCCTCGCTTCACAGTGATGCAGTCGAAAGCTCAGTGCGAAGCCGCTCAAACTTGTTGCAATGGTGGCAAAATTTACGGACTCCCTGTCCATTATGCACTTGCGTTAGGAAAAAAAAAAAAACTACCGCTTACGTAGTTATTCTGAGCACAAGTTGAGACGCAGCATGGCGAACACACATACCACTCAAGAGTTTTACAAAGCGCAAAATGCACCACTCGACGAGAGCGACGGGTGGTGGCAGCGTTAAAGCCTGCCGAAACTTAATTGTTGCATTACTAATGTCAATTCACATGTACGTTTCACAATGTGATGCAGAACATCAGCGAAAAGAAGAGTAGGTCACTCACCTCGCGCGAAATAAAACTCTGTTTACAAACCGATGCGACGCTCGCTCGAGTAGAGTTTACACTTTAAGGTTGCTAACCCAATGCGCGTCGCATACGCCAAGCTTAGTGAAAATAACAAGGTGTTAACTAAATGAACGCAAAATACTCTGCAAATTTTCTTCGTGAAGTTGTACTTATAAAGCTTTTGTAAGCAATTATTATGAGTTGAGAAAGCGTCCTCACTGCTACTTGGCCCCACTGAGGCGTCTGCTTCACTGGATTTCACTATGATAGTGGTGATCAGTAGTAGAGGTCTGCTTGCTATGGTAACAAACTTGAGCGTAGTGCAGCCGTTTCGTTTGTCACCCTTTGTAGCTGTTGTGTAGCGTCTGGTTGGTGTAAATAGTTAGAAAGCGTTACTTGTGGCATGCTCAAGAAAGCGATCGTTCAGTGTCGCCGTTATTGTGTAGGAGCACGCTGTGTGTTGCGGTGAGAGTCACGGTGAACATCTGGCTGTGCTTCGAAAGCAGTGATCGTGGTGTTGAGCAGCTGGTTTGTTGTGATTGAGCGTCACCTCCTAGCCTTGCTTTTACGTTCCTTATCTCCACATATCTTACAAACTGGTGTCTTGTGCGTGTCATGGATGTCTGGACTGTCTCTTTCAGATGCTTTCACAGAAGTAACGTGTCTGTTTCAGACATACACCTCTGCAGTGTGGTTATCACAGTGAGGCTCAAAGTTGCTTTACTTTTGCAGACGATGCTCCACTAAAGAATACCCTTGTCTGCCACCGGTGGAGGTTCTCCAAGTGCGAAAGTTTCAGCGCCAACCAATAAGATCAGCTGGGCTGTGCAAGTTATCCCTGCGACCATGTCGTTCAGACTTACCACCGCATAAAGAAAACGACACATTTTTTTTTTCTTTATTCTATTCACATAGTGCATGAATGTCTACATTATAATGTTAGTGCGCACTATTTTGACGACCAGTGTGAATTGCTCTTTGTCAAGCTCTTGTTTATTTTCATGATACTAGGCGTAAATATATGTGTCTGTCTTCGTAATTACATATCGTGAAAATGCCCTGTTTTACTTTGTTACACAACGAAAGAAGTTCTACATTTTACATGAACACTGCACGTTATCAGTACATGGTGTAGCACCTGTATTGTGCCAGTACTTCTGCATTTGACATGTTGCAATAGCTGCAGTCTTAATATTGTTACCTGAAGGACGTGACTGCTCTCTCAATACACAGGCCCATACAGATTGATTCATGCATTGACTCCCATAACATATGAAATTGCTCCTGTCGCCTCATCATCTTCATCCTCCCTTAAAGTCAGCAATATCGTACACATCTCACGCTTGAAGCCGTACCACTCCTCCAATGACATTGACGTTTAGACACGCCATACATCTGCTGCTGGGAATTATGCAGCATGCATATTGCCAGTCTTTGGAACCATGCGCATGTGGGCCCGACGAAGAGAACAAGCTCTCTTTGCTCCGGTTCTAAGCTGAAGCGGTTAGCACTGCAACTGCTGCTGCAAATATATTTTTAACATCGCATACTGAGCAAGTGCCTCATCATTCACGGAACCATACGAAAATTTAGATTGACCTGTCATTTCACAGAAAAATTCGGCAAATTCAGAAATTACTACGACTTCATTGTCGCACTCATACCGACTCAAACTGCACTTATGTTTGTCTTGTGTGTGTGTGTATGTCAATAAGTTCCAAAAGTTCGATATTGGTACAAGCATCGACATATATGCTTGTTTTGCAAGATCTGATAGTTTTATGAAAAATTGAGCTAGTCACTTTACATCATTATGCATCAAGAGAAGAACGTTTAAAGCCAACAGTGAGGCGAAGAATATAGTATATGAATGCAAACACAGACTGTCGCTTACCTTTAACTTTCTGTTAAACTACATTGTTAGCTTGCATCAGGAATTGGAAACTACTTGCCCAGTTTTCTATTCAGTCAGAGATTGTGTTGCATTACTTAATTTTTTGCCTTCATTTCAGTGTTTGTCATAGTCTACGCATCAGTGCTTGTTCACTCAGCTTTCTGTCAAGTCAGTGCTTGCTTTGAATTGCTCTCCTTTGACTCATCCTTGACGTGTTATTGGTTTTAACCAAGAAAGAGTACCAACATTGCCTGCTTTCTGTCTTTTTAAAAGATTAATATGTCAAAATTTATACCGAACTTTCACAGGCACAAGTTACATTGGGAAACCACGAAATTTTATTTATCTTCACATCCCCATGGTCTTTTACAACATTTCATACTTGTGTTACTGCTTCCTAGGTCTGAGTTGGCTCTTAATATTTCTCCGAAATTGTCTGTTGTTTCTTTTGTACTCCCTTACAGGGATGTGCTTTCTTATGATTGTTTGTAATGCTTGGTGCTAAAACTGTTTGTAACTTCTTGTTACAAAACACTTCACATTGGTTTTGTGTCATTTGTAATTTGGAACTAAATCAGAACTTTGAAATGGCCTACCTACCCCACAAAAAAAAAAACGGTCACATTTTCTAGATATAACTAGACATGTCCATTTGCTAATCAGAAAATGTAGTGTTTTCCGTACGCAATACTTCGAACAACTACTTGAATTCCAGAGGTCGAAGACATGCAGCACTTCAGCAACAAAGATTTGTTTGTTGCTCAGACTTCACAAAACATTCGGTTCAACATTTAATTTTGAGGCATGTGCAGATGTATACCAAGCTCGAGCTGTACCAACACTGCATATCACTTTTTTGTGTTTGTTTCTGTTTTCTTTTTTTTCAACTTTTGGGTGCCACCTGTGTCATTGTTCCACCAAATACTCATTATTTCTAACAGTGCAGTGCACCAAAACCTGGTAATGCATAATGCCTAACTTGCTGTCAAAAATTTTTTTGAATAACTTGTAATGCAATCAATCTCTTACATATGTATCACTGCAGGAGTAATCAGTAATGTTGCACAATAAAGAAAGCTACTTATTGCTCAACCTTTTTTGAAGTCAAAGAAAAGTTGGGCAGCTTTTCATGGTGCTATTGTCGCTGAACTTTTCTAATTTGCTGGTGATTAGAAGACCTTCCACACTATTTTAACTGTAGTAATTAATTCAACTTTCTCTGAGCCTCAAATGAATTGAACACTTGCAAGAGCATTACGTGTTGGCTCACTGCTAAAGTTCTAGCAGTATCAGTGTCAAGTGCCTGCTGTTTTGGACGAAAGTGAACCCATTACTGTGGTGCTCAATGTCAGACTGCTTGCTCATTTGGAAACTGCAGTGGTTAATAAAATTAAGGCAAGACCGGTGACCTCTATTTTTTTACATTTTACAGTCCTGTACCTTTTCTCTGTGTCCATGCTACTTTCTATTTCGAACCATTTTGCTGTCTTAGTAGACATTTGGTGGATGCATCATGCATTGCCCTTGTCTGCTCAATATGATCTTATACTTTTCTTTTCCAGCTCTCCAAAAGAATTCTGTTTGGTATTAACCACAGTATTTTTTATTTTCTTTCTAAAGTGCGGACACGATCTGGCCCCTCAGTACTGCAAAAGAAGCACCATCCTCAGACAACAGCGCGACCTGTGACTGCACCGTGCCCTTATTGCTTTGCCCATCTGAGTGTCAAATCCCTGTCAAGGCACAAGAAAGAAATGCATGCAAGCCAGAAAAAAGTGCACAAGTGCTCAATGTGCGATGCAAAGTTGACACGACTCGACAATCTTCGTAGACACATGATGCTCCGTCACCGTGCCCAGAAGACTCACTGACACAATTAAGAATGTGACTGGCAGAGACCATTCTCATCCAGACAAATAACCGCGACTTCGAAATCCTTGCCTGGTGGTCACTTGTGTCTTGCTTCCATGCCAGGCCTAATTGAGTGTTAGCAGTGATGCGAAGCAGCTGCAATAAAAAACTAGCCTTGCAGCAAGAAAAGCACATTGAAGGTTTTGAGCATTATACTGAAGTATATTGTGTGACTTACTTTTGTTCAGAATCCAAGTGAATACATGCTTAATTTCTAATGCCATTTTACAGTGTGCCCTATTTCTGTTTAGAAAGCAAGACAAAAGAAAAATTGGGTTTTTATTTATTTTTTATTTTGTCATGCTGTGTCTATGAGATCACTGCATTTAACATACAAGGATAGCCAGTATTTTAGTTGACATTAAGAGAAAAAAAAGGAGACATGGGCAGGCCACATGCTCACTGGCACATCTTTTTGTCAAAATTAATGAGTTGATATCACGTGTTATAGCAACAATGTGAAACACATACCTTTTTATGCCTTCTTTATCTTTCATTGTATCTTAGAAGATTTTCAGGCCGGGTTGTTTTTGACGGCTGAAAGCACCCATTCCATTCATTATATACCATATTTAACTCGCTGTGATGTGGTTAATTAGGTTTCTTTGCAGCATTCATTACATTGATAAAAGACGACTGCAGGCAAATTGAACCGTTGTATGTCCTAATATTGCAACAACCTTGAGCAATAGCTTAAAAGCCTATTTAGTGTCACTGTGCCACAAAGTATGACAGATCTGTTTTGACATTGTCATACTACATTATAAAAAAAAGTTCACCACAATTTATTTTTAGATTGAATAAGTGATGCTTATAGGTGGCATATAGTGGAAACTGACAATTCATTGAATTTTTAGATATTGAAGGCTATCTTTTTTTATCCGTGCCTAAATTGTTTTTTTTTTTTTTTACTCAATGGAACAGTTCCTTGACTCAAGGAGGACAAGGAGACAATAACATTCATAAGTGTCCGGCTGTCCACTCCCCACCTAGACTGGGGGCAGTAGACCTTAGGCTTTGGCAGTGTCTTTGGCCAGGCAGAAGGCCCACATCTGGCCCTCGGAAGCTGAACTGGATAGCATGATCTCCCACTGTTCTTCGCCATTTAATGCATGGCCTGACTGCAGACAGGCCCATCTAAATATGTCGTGGGTTTGCCGATTCATTGCGTAATCAGCATCTGTTTAAGTATTTTCCTGGGTAGTAATGACAATATGCCACCTGGTTCAGATATGTGTTAGTTTGAAGGGGGTGCGAGACCCCTGCAAGAAAAAAATTTGAGAGAAGCCCATGGTACAGTGTATAGATTTATCAGTTGTTGCACATGATAGAATTATTTGTGTCTACAAAACTGGCAAGCAGTATCCACTGGATGCCACCATATGTGGTGTGTTACCAACAGGCTTCAGTGCTCATGACTGTGTTTGTGCATTGTGACAGAAAGCTCTTTTTTTTTTACTGAAAGTTGAAGATTTCAGACTTTTCATGTCACTGCTGAGAGCTGGACTGCCCTCACTAAGCTGTCGGAGGTAGTGAAAATGCTACTCATATTCAACCACTGTCAAATATTCATAGAGAGATGAAAATCGGTGTGAACCATTGCATGTTTTAAAAGATCTTTCAAGAATGCGTGTCATATACTGCTGAGGATTGTATTTAGTAAACAGTGTGTTCAGCATACTCGAGTGAGAAGCCTGTCATCTGTCAGGTGCAAATGCAATGTGTGCATGTAGTTCCAGATAAAGGGGCTACAAAATAATTCTACAAAGTTATAAACATCCTGCATTCGCTAGAGATCAACAACATGAAGTAGCAAGTTGAAGAGGGCTGATACATCTCAAAACTTGATTGTAATAATAATAAGCTTTGAGCTGAAATTCTATGTAGATTATAAGTGTGATATATTTCAGGGAGAGCCTCTTTGAACATAATGTGCTATGTAAAAGGCAGAAAACTGAAAAAAAATGACAAAAAAAGCCAAAGCAAGTAGTTTCTGTGCATCGACCAGAAAGTAAGAGAAAAGTATAATTGGCACCTAATGCATACTTATGTTTAGTTCGTGTTGTAGATAGTAACGTAAAAAATATAGTTCTCACTATGTTTAGAAACTGGTACTTGCAGCAGAATCTCAGTATGTTTCAAGAAAACCTTAACAAGATCTTGCAACATACCTTATTTTTTTTTTTCCCTGTTATCCGCACAAAAATTCAGGAAGCTGGAGTATATAGTTTGGTTATAGTGATTTTTTTTCTCTCTTTTTGGTACAGTTTACAGAGTACTGCACCAAGATTCAGCTCAGGTCAGCCATGAGGGCACCAATGACTATGCATATAAAATTGTGTGTGGAGTTTCACACCGCCAACCATTGCACGGGGTTATTAGTACAAAAATGTGGGCATTCTTGTAAGCAGCTTTACAAAAGATGACAGGCTTCTTTCTTTTTTTTTCTTCTCCTCTTTTTATTCTTGTAGCGGGTGTGGCATATCTATTTGTACATGTGGAAAAGAGGTATATTGTGTTTCATGGAAGACTGTGTTGGCACTGGGCTTCATACGTTATGGACAGGGTAGGCACAGCACTTAATACTGGCTGTAACAAGTTTGTCATGAACTGCCGTAATGCACTGCATGTACAAAATATATTTGACGACTTAGCACGACACATTTTGTCATCCTTTTTTTGAAGTGCCTGCCTACAAGCCATCAGACATCACTGTTGAGTGGATTTTCAGGAATAAAAGTTAAGCACTGCAGGCTATTATTGCATCATTTTTATCCTTAGAATGTACACAGTTTAACACAGCCATTCACCTTAAAGATTAGTGTGGACTATCATATTAATGAAGCTTACTTTACAAAAACGAATTGTGAACCAATGGAGGGGAACAAAAGGGCTTGTTTTTCTTTTGCTAGGCTCAACCTTATTGAAAACCAACTGACAGTGAAGTTGCACAGGTTGCTACTATTTAAGAGAATTTAAAAGGGACATATTTGTGGTCTTTTAATTGCATTGTAGTAATTACAATATACTTATGAAGAAATTAAAGCGGACGAAAAGACAACTTGCCACCGATGGAGAGTGAACCTGTAACCTTCGAATGCATTCGATGCTCTACCAATTGAGCTACAGTGGTTGTCGTCCTCCTGTCTACACTATCAGGTATTTCTGCGCATGTGAACCTGGCAGTGTTTGTCCGTGCCACTCTTATTTATGACGGCAAGCATGACACACTCTTTTTAGCCTGTTGGCGTCACATAGCGTGTCACGTAGCACGTGAGCTGCACATAGAGGCCTTTTCAGTGCCTCAATAGAATGAAACTCTTATAGTGATGGACGGTCCCAGCACATAAATGCAAAGATGTGTGTTCCCACTGTAAGTACACATTCTACAGAAGTCCACGATGTTGGCCAGTTTTCTTCACATAACGTTCAGTTAGGCTTATATAGATATGTGCGGTTTCCGTGAGAAAGTGCACTCGTCCGTGATGCGCGCTTTCAATTTGCTGCTGGCCGCCTAGCCTAATCTTTGTAACTGCTCTTTCTTGACTTATCGTGTAACCTGCTTTGTAAATTCGTTACCACTGCCTTTTATTTTTGTGCATGTTTTTTTCACTCTTGTTTTTATTTTTGATGTCCACTCCACATGTAATGTGCTTTGGGCTCTCTTTAGGAATAAATAAATAAATGTCTTTAGGCAGATGATTGGCACTTTGCTTTCTTGTTGCAGCCATGCAGAGACGAGCTGGAGTGGTCAATGCAGTTTTTAAATGATACTACTTGTGTGTTCAAAAATCCAAATATACACAGATTTCCCAGACACACAGAAATTCTATTGATCATCACCTCAACTGTGGGAAAAAAATTTATTAATTTTAGCATTTTATTTTTTCATAATAAAAGCATTTCATTAATTCATAAGTATCAGCAGTGGGCTATATAAACCATAAAACTAAGCTCTCACATTAAGAAAAAGGTCACATTAAGTCAAGATTTCACATAAATTTGGCCCACGCAAGACAGAGTGAATTGAAGATTATTAAGAAAGGTCTTCGTCTTGCAGTGAACTTAAAATAGGTTGGGGAGGATGATGATGAAGGTGATGTACAGCCCGAGTGGTGCACAGCCTAACAGAGATGGTTTACTCCCAAAATCGTTTATTGGTAGTTGTCCTATGACACAAGTTAACCTTGGCTGAACTATGCATGTTCAATGCAAACCAGCTTTTGAGAAAATATGCTCACAGACATCTAAATTCAGATGAGACTTCCCTGCTTATAAAGATGGCGTTTAACCAAATAAACATCACTCACCTCACAAAGTTCAACGAAGTGTCTGAATGGTGTTATATTGGTACATAAGAATTTAGGTACGGAAGTTAAGCTGATTTTGGTACATGTTAGCTAGGACTGGAGAGAGGTCGGAGCATAGGAACTGAATTGCATGTCTCTGTCTTACCTGCTCTGTTGTAAGGATAGTAATTGTCATGTCTCCACTGTAAATTATTATCCTAGCATATTGTCCTCCATCCAACTCAATCAGCCTTAGGTGTTTCCCCATGCCATATTATATTAATAAATGCATATTTCCAGTGCAAAGCAGAATGTTAAGTTCATTTTTCTATTACAAGGCTGCTTAGCATAAAAGTTAACACATACACTATTATGCTACCATTGCCATTTTAAAAAAATGTTATGAGTTGTTTTCTGTTCTAATAACTTCCTTTCATTTATTAAGTTCTTTTCTTGTAGTATTTACCATTTCACTGCTTATATATCTTGACAGCATTTTTGTGTACTGATATTGTCTCCTTATGTTTCTACTCCTCCTCACTTTTTCCCTTGCTATACTTCACATGATCGCTTTTCTTTGTTTTACCAAGTTTGCCGTTTTTTGTGTCTTCTCTCGAGGGTTCCATAGAGTAGTGCTTAATTTTATAACCCTTGTCTATGAATTATTTAAAGACCAACTCCTCAGTGGATTGAGGTCAGTGGATCTTAATAAAATTCACTGGGTACGTTTCTTTCCCCATTTGCGTCATTCATGCCAAATTGCAAGCTTGAGAGTTTCACAGATTCTTTTCAAATAAATTTTATAGCTTGCCTCAATATGCTCACCTCACTTGCCAAAATTAATGGCAACATTGTGTGTGCGACGTTGAGTTTTGTATGGCGGAAGTGACGGACTGATTTGCCACTGCAGCGTCTGCTTGTCTGCTATAGATTGTGTGGGTTTGGCCGGCACTTCCTTGGTTGAGCGTTCGATTTCCTTTTCCATGTTGGTGGGCGCGTAATAGGTTACAAAACGTGTTGCGTTGTGAGCCACACACGATTCACCATATATTCACCATAACAGCATAAGCATTTTAGCCTATCGCCGCGGACGACGTGGACAGGTAGTGCCATCTGGCGGGCATTATGTGCAATCAGGCAGGTTCCAGCAGCATCAGGCAAATCTTTACGTCACATGTAGAAGCGCACTCAGTTGGGTTTCGGTTTTGGTATTGTAGTTTTTTGGTAATTAAAAATTATTTTCAATTTTTTTTTAGCATTTCAGTAATCGGGCGCGTGAGAAGAGTGTCTAAAGAACATAAAAGCACCATTATCCTGACATGGTGAAAAAATCACCGGAGTTGGCCTTTAAATCTCAGAATTTCATTGTACAAAAGACTAATAATGATAACAATGTGAGAGTGCTCAGGTCAGCAATATTATCGTGCATGTGCTCTACAAAAACAAACAAAAAATTTTATATATGAAGCCCCCTCCTGAAATTGAGAGCAGTAACTTCAATTTTGTTTATGAAGTATTCATTTTTGATAATTGTTTATGTGAAAGTGCCTGATGGACTTTCCACACCAAGGAGAAAACTAATTTTTTTTATTTTCTAAGAGCTTTCTGAGGCACACCCAATGTAACAGACACCATATGAAAGTTTCATGACAGGGTACTTTAGTATATCCAACACACGCTGTGTCAGTAGTGAAAGCCTTTCATGCTACAATTCACCATAGCTGTCCAGCTCTGTACAATAACACCGTTTATTAAATCACTTATGCCTATAGTATCTGATTTTCATATTGTTTGCCCAAATAAAAGAGAAATTTTTTTACCAACATTTATGATAATTGATAGATGACAGCTTTTCACTTTACATCTGTAAATCAATGATCATTTGTGTAATTTTCAAGAACTTTTTCTATTGACGAATTTGAAAATATGTACACACAAATTTTTATATACACAAAATTTGGCTTTCCATTTTCTCAAGTTTTTGGCGGCACTTTCGTGGAATGCAGATCTTTGGCATAAGACCTAGGAAACAACGAATGGGATAATCACACCTATGTTAGCATGCCATGAACTTTTATACGATGCTCACGCACAGTGTCCTTTCTTGTAAACTCTTTGGAGCAGACACCACATGGAAAGCGCTGACGGTCGTTAGCCAAGTGACGCTGCATATGCCGTCTAAGGCTGCTGCTGTTGAAGAATGTCCGCTGACAGAGCCGGCAGCGAGGTTTGTTTCTTTGAAAGTCAAAAGTCGTGCCACATTGGTCCAGGTCATCTGAAAAGAATGACAAAGCTGTTGCCACAAAAGATCGTGTTAGCGCACCTGTCTATTCTCATCATCGTCATCATCAGCCTGACTACGTCCACTGCAGGACAAAGGCTTCTTCCATGTTCTGCCAGTTAACCCGGTCCTGTGCTTCCTGCTGCCAATTTATACCCGCAAACTTCTTAATCTCATCTGCCCACCTAACCTTCTGTCTCCCCCTAACCCGCTTGCTTTCTCTGGGAATCCAGTTAGTTACCCTTAATGACCAGCGGTTATCCTGTCTACGTGTTACATGCCCGGCCCATGTCCATTTCCTCTTCTTTATTTCAACTATGATATCCCTAACCCTCGTTTATTCCCTAATCCACTCTGCTCTCTTCTTGTCTTTTAAGGTTACACCTACCATCTTTCTTTCCATTGCTCGCTGCGTCGTCCTCAATTTAAGCTGAACCCTCTTTCTAAGTCTCCAGGTTTCTGATCCGTAGCTAAGTACCAGCAAGATACAGTTGTTATATACCTTCCTCATGAGGAATAGTGGCAATCTACCTGTCATAATTTGAGAGTGCTTGCCGAATGTGCTCCACCCCATTCTTATTCTTCTAGTTACTTCAATCTCGTGGTTCAGCTCTGCGGTTATTACCTGCCCTAAGTAGACATAGTCTTTTACAACTTGAAGTGCACTATTACCTATCTCGAAGCGCTGCTCTTTTCCGAGGTTGTTGTACATTACTTTCGTTTTCTGCAGATTCATATTAAGACACACCTTTCTGCTCTCCTTGTCTAACTCCGTAATCATGAGTTGCAATTCGTCCCCCGAGTTACTCAGCAATGCAATGTCATCGGCGAAGCGCAGGTTACTAAGGTACTCTCCATTAACTCTTATCCCTAACTGTTCCCATTCTAGGCTTCTGAAAACCTCCTCCCCTAATGCTCAATATTTCTTCTCACACAATTTACCACCCAAAAAAGAGAAATCTAATGCATATGAAGTAAAATAGGTGAGAACCTCCACCTAAAATACTTTGAATGCTGAAAGTTTGAGAACCTACTGTAGACTTGGCATATGAAGCGCATTGTAACAAACAATCAGATAAATGATTCAAAGTCACAACAATGTTAAAGCTGAAAGCTCCACATAACCAAGAATACTTTAAAAAATGCTACTGCAAACCAGAAAAAGAAAACTAGAGGCAGATTCAAGAAAAAAGATTAAAGAAAACTAGAGACAGATTTAGGCTAGCCAAATGTTCGAAAATTAAAGAAAACAGTGTTAGTAGGCAATGAATAGATGTTCACTG